TTAAAAAATTTTGAAAAAAATTTTCTTTTCAATATTTGAAAATAAAATTATAAATTCATTGTACATGTGTAACATCCAAGACACTGGATTGTTCAGAAGTGTTGTCTTTAAAAGGTAATTTTTAAACGCATATTATTTTCCTTGTTTTTATAAACGATCTGCCAAAAGTAGTGTCAAGCGTGTGCTCCATGTATGCCGACGACACAAAAGTTTATAAAACAGTTAAGGATGCGTCAAATAAAATGCTATTGTAAGATGATCTTGATAGTTAGCTAAGTGGGCTGATGAGTAGCAGATGCGTTTTAATGCTGACAAGTGAAAAGTGCTTCTCCTCGGGAAACAATGAACAGCAAGATTACAGTATGAGAAGACATGGTTGCAACGAGACGAGAGAGTAATGATTGAACAGTCTAGCGTGGAAAAAGATTTGGGAGTTTATGTCGACAAGGGGCTGACATTTTCTAGGCATATTGAAGCGCAAGCTAGTTAAACTTCTTGGCATGATCAGACGTTCTTACGATTTTCTAGATGCAGAAAGGATGAAGCTTTTGTTTGCCGCTGTCGTGCGCTTGAACCTAGAGCTTGGAAGAAACACTATGCGGTTCCCAAAACTTGAAAAGTGAACAAATTTAGTAGAGAGTGTTGAAAGACATGCAACAAAGATAATTCCAGGCTTGAAGGGCAAGTCTTACGCTTCCAGGCCTCTGAATTATGATTATGAAGCTTCCGAGCCTCTGTTATCTACGCCTGCGTGGTGACCTCATTGAAGTATACAAGTATACTCATGGTTTGTACAAGGTCCCTGAAGGATCACTAGAATTTGAAACAAGAACCAAAACTAGGGACCACGGCTATAAGCTAAAAAAAACTGCGTTGCAACTCATCCACGCGACGACACTTTTTCTCGCTTCGAGTCGCCGACATGTGGAACGGCCTCGCTTATGACATCGTGGGCGCTCCGAGTATGAACGCGTTCAAGAACACACTAGATAAAGCTATGCTAAACGAATAAATTCAATATCAATCTATTGTTTACTCATTATCCCGATCAGTTTCGTCGTACCGCTCCTTAACCCTTCCATCTGAGTTTAGTAGATGCTATTTCTATTGGCCTTATATAATCCTCTGATGCGAGTCTAACCCATATATGTATATATGGACAAATAAATAAATTTTTCCCATATATTTTTGCCCAGTGGTTAAAGTTCAGAGCACTATAGGATTGGAGCAGAGAGGCGCGGGTTCGGTCCCAGCTCTGTGCGCCAGTTTCTGGTCAGAATCATCGAGGGAGGCCGCGCGGTTAAGCACAGCAGAATTGTAGTAGTGAGTTGTGAGTTCGAGACCGCAAAATGCTATGAGTGTTCTACGATGTTAAGAATCGGCGACGACATGCCTACGGTCTACTAAACACTGAAACCGCTATTATTATTATTATTATTATTATTATTATTATTATTATTATTATTATTATTATTATTATTATTACAGAAATATGTATATGCTCAGACTTGAAATGCCTAGCACCATACCGAACCTGGTGGAAGTCTAGCATGTTGAAATTTCAAACTATCATCAGTTATGAAAAGTTCTGGTCAAAGGACCTGTTTTTAGATCTCCTGTGAACAAGTTACATAAAGGAGAAGAATCGGCGACAGGCCACATATCTGGCGGGCCCATTCTTCAGCGCAGACATCACTGTGATATGATATATGATATGATAGGTTAGCTTAGGTTAGGTTAGGATGGGTCAATCTAGGATAGATAAGATCATAGTAATGTAATAATAATTAAATGTCTCAAAAATCAGTAATCATCCATACCGCGGCGTATTGCTGATAATTACTTTTGTTCGGAATTTCATGCAGACCCGTTCAGGTAGCAATTACGAGCTGTTAAGTTGAACAAAATTTCGTTCTTGCGTTCGCAAGCAAGTTCGTGGGTGAGTTTGGATGAGTGTCGATTCTGACTAAATGAATACTTTTTGCTAATATATACTTGGTAGCAACATGAGATTATAAAAATTTAGGTTTGAAATAAATCCGGATATTTGCCCTTTTATAGAACAATCCCATAGGAACTTCTACAATTAAAGTACATGAATAACCAAACTAAACTGAAAATACCAGATAATTTCATTATTGCATTGACGCACAAAAAAGTCGAATGCTTGAAAACTATTGTTGTTTGAAAAGTATTAGGCTGAAAGTATAACTTGCTGATCTCTTGTAACATCCGGAGGAATGAAGACAGCTACGATTTATATAAGTTAAAACCGTAAAGGTGTTCTATCGTATCAATTTATTGGTATGAAATGTAATTCTTAATAAAATTCGACTAATATTTTATTCGCTTGATCATTATCGTGTTTAAATTCGGCTCAGAGGGGTAAAACAACATTGACTTAAGCCTTTATATGAAAAATTTTATAAAATAATAAATAACCTATAATTATAATACATATAAATTATATAAATAATTCAACAAATGTCATCTCCAAAATATCTTTGATCCTTTTTATTTGGTGCCCGAAGCTGTAAATCGAATCGACTCGTAATTTGAGGCTCTCCGTGACGCCTATCGATCTGCGTCGTACGGTACTGCGATCATAACGTTTCATATGTTACCTGGGCACTAAAAATTATTTTAATAATGGAATAATGATAAATTAAAACGCAGGAGGGGAGGACTTTGATTAAAAAGCTAAAATGAGTGTTTCTCGTTTAAAATTAGTTATAATATATAAAAAATCAAAATCTGGTATGAGAAGAATGGTGTTTAAATGATAAAGGTGCGATTACACGGATATTTCTTTTCTAAACACGGACTGATTTCAAAAGAGATCACAGTGGGATAAAAGAAACGGGGTTTTAATGACGATAGGATTTTGAAATCTTGAGAAATTCCTGCCTCGAGCTGCGTCGTGTTGACCTGCTAGTTAAGCATTTGTCTTTTCATTTACATCATTCAAGATTTTGATCTAATTTGAGATAATGAATTGTTATCTCAATTTCAATATAATTCTTGAATAACGATCTCAACCCGCGTACCACTGAAACTTCTGGATTTAGATTTGGGATGATGTGCAGTTGAAGAAATATTCCCATGTCAGGTCTTTAATTTGCAACGTCCAGCTGACATGTGACATGTTATTATTTATTTAATATTGGTAGGAGAGAAGATGAGGTAAGCAATGGCGGGGAGGAGAGGAAGAAGAGCACAGGCTAGAGGGAGATTTTATTTTTTATAATTTAGTTTAAGACTTGTGGTGTAAAAAGAACCAATCCCGTCATTACCAATCCCGTCATTACGAATACAATCATTACCAATCCCGTCATTGCCAATCCTGTCTTTACCAATCCCGTCATTACCAATCCCTTCATTACCAATCCCGTCATTACCAATCCTGTCATTACCAATCCCGTCATTACAAATCCCATCATTACCAATCCCGTCATTACCAATCCCATTACCAATCCCGTCATTACGAATACAATCATTACCAATCCCGTCATTGCCAATCCTGTCTTTACCAATCCCGTCATTACCAATCCCGTCATTACCAATCCCGTCATTACTAATCCCATCATTACCAATCCCATTACCAATCCCGTCATTACCAATCCCGTCATTCCCGATTTTGTCGATCTCAATCTCGTAATAATTTTGCATCCGAGTTACGAAATCCTCACAAACTGCCGCTACCAACAACACTTTGCATAGAGATCCATTTTGTGCTTTTTTAACTAGTGATTACGAAAAATAAACGGAAGTCTAATTTACGAATTTTATACTTATAGCCATATATTAATTACTCGCTTATAGTACGTAGTCCGGTTTTTATTTCTTTTTTTTCATAAAAATTAAACCGAAGCCAGACATTATTTACTTGGATAAACATTAAAAAATGTCCATTCAATTAGTCAATATACACAGCATTTCGCTAAACCAAAATCTCAATTTAAAAATCACCCATTCTTAAAAATCACAATGAAAAAAATGATCATCAAAAAACAATAGTTAGAAAATCACAATTTCCTTATCATTTTAATGGTGTCGTTCTCGCCCCCCTTTTGTATATGTGATTAACTGTGGTATTTCTGAGAGGAAGAAAATAGTACAGCGGAGCACCATAGACTTTTCTGCGCCGTGCGCCTCCTGAAGTGGAAAGCATTACCCGCTGAAAATTTCTAAGAAGAATTACTTCATAATTAATATCCAAGTTCTTTGTAAAGATTGACGCATAGTGATCCCAACTGATGACTAATTATCCGTTAATAAATTGCTATAGTGTTTAAAATGGGAATTTTCACCAAGATAAATAGTGGTTTATTTGTATGAATTATAATCGAATTTCCGAGCCTGAAGATACCTTCGAGGAAGGTAATTTTTTCAAGTTTCGCTTCTGTACGCGCACATAATTTCCAGCCACAGACAAAATGCGAGGGCTCTAATGCATGATTAATTAATAATGCGTGCCTGGACGTTTTTTGTTTTCGCTCTTGTAATTATCCTAGCTTTTTGTCTCAAATTTAATCATCAGTGCTAAATGGTTCGCATAATTCAATCTCGAAATTCCTAGATTTACCAAACATAGATTTTTTAGAATCAGTTCATTTTTAATTTCCTCCTTTACTCGAGATTCAAACTGATTTTTTATGTATGATAATACAGGTATCCATGATAATTTACTAGTCTACTTATAGGACTCATAAATGAACTTGAGGGAGAGTCTAAAAAACTCCTGGCATTGCCACTATGAATTTTCAAATTAGTGTGATATTTTAAAATGAAATAGTGCACTCATTAGATTATTCAAAAAATTACATGTGAGAGTGTGGATCTATAGTTTATGGAAGTGATCTATGAGCATTGCTTATACCATGGACGTTTTAAAAATTTTCAATTACCGTGATATGCATTTGGCACTCAGTTCTAATAAAGCCGAAAGCAAAACTCGGAAGCGGAGAACCCTCAAGTCTCGCGCCAGTATGCGACGCGACTCCGATGTGTGTGGATGTGCGGTGGGTGTGCTAGTTGCGTTTGACTGGGCACGCCACTCTCAGTGGATGGGATGATAAAAGTGAGAGTGGGACAAACCAACGAATATCGGGATAACGACTGATCGAAAATAGTCTATTTTCTGTATCTATTCTTACATTTCGAATCGAGTGTTGCAACCGAAGAAATGTGACCGTTTCTGTGCGAAAAGGCAACTACGACCCGAAGTTAATTATAGTTAATAATTGAATTAAGATACATTTAATTCTAATTTCATCTGCAATCGAGCTTAACAATGTTGTACAATAAGAGTGAAGGCGTCGTAATGTTGCTGGTAGTGGCTTTGTTTTTGTTAATGAGTCGAGTTCGGCACGTCAGCGGACAAGACCGAAAAGTCGGAGTTGCGGAACCTAACCTAGACGCGCTACGAGGACTCGATCTTGCCTCCATAGCTGGTGAGTAGGAGAAGTTTCCTTTACAGTTACAATATATTTAACTCAAAATTATATGGTTAATTTCTAAATGTTCAATTGTTCTTTAGTTATGTTAAAGTTGTTTCCAACTTTCCATGAATTATCCACGTGTCTGAAGTCGCAGAATGTGAGTAGCAACTTAAAGGAAATTTGACCAAAACGAGGAATTTTAGTTTCAGTCTGACCAGTGACGGCTGGTCAGAAATTCGGACACTTTTGAACGGATAATTATCAAATCCATTGATGTTTGTCAGTTGAATTGAAACTTCTTTGTACGTATAATTTTTTTCCTGTAAAAAATTTCGGCGCAGTGCTGAGTAACCTTGGGATCAATTTGTTTATTTAAATTTACTTCCTTAATTTGCGCCATGTAACCTTCTATTACCTTTTAGGTTTTAAATTGCTATATAAGCCCTTCGAATTGTAATTACCTCCAATTGGTGGCCTCCAATTTGCTCGACAATAATATTAAGGATCTTCAGTGCCACCACGTTGAGTATAGATTCCGCTGATCAGGAGGTGAAAGTGATTTAGTACCAAGAAATTAATTACTTAGTGAAAGTAATTAGTGCCAGCTATACTGCTATATCAATTTATTTTCATCAAAACTACCACTTGAATTTATGTTGCTTCGAGTCTTTTTCATCTGGCACGAGTTTAAGTTAATGACGTATTTGACTCTTGATCAATGCTATGATCTATTCGGGAATAAGTTCCCAGCGTGCAAGTATTAGCACTTCCTTATACAGAACGCTATACTGAATTACATCAATGATTATTATACATTTATATTTCTGACAACTTATATTATCGAAACTATATTGTTCGATGAACTTTTAGAAAATATTAGTTAAATTCAAGTTCAGCGTGCTTCTCTGTAACCGGCACGGTTTATGTTGAAAAATAATGTTTTAAGCAATAAATCATAAAGGTTAAATATTTTTTGGAGAAACATCGGTACTGCGTATTTTTGTATTGGTTGGATAACATTCTGTACTCTCACATTATATGTGCACCACGACGACGAGCGTCTTACTATTGCATGTGCATCTCGACATGCGTCCCACATCCGTATGCGTTTTATTACACACATGAATTTGACAATGAAATTCACCCTCACTATGCACTGCTCCACAACCTACACCACACCACAACATGCACCACACTACAACATGCACCACACTACAACATGCACCACACTACAACATGCACCACACTACAACATGCACCACACTACAACATGCACCACGCTACAACATGCACCACATCACAACATCCACCACACCGCAACATGCACCACACTACAACATGCATCACACCACAACATGCACCACACCACAACATCCACCACACCACAACATGCACCACACCACAACATACACCACACTACAACATGCGGCCATAATGCTCGCTACCAACAGTTAGGGACAAGTACTCCTAGCGACGCTGGAAATATACACCATGGCTGTCCTGCCCGCCACTTGCAGTGAAAGTTTGGAGTGCCGCCACCTGGCCTGGTAAAGGATCGCCACGCTCGTCCTCATCGTTTGGGTTCGAGTTATGAGCTCTCCGTGTGCAGAGATAAGGAAATTACGTTTCGAGTTTTATCATATAAGTTCTATTATGATGGTTCACACATATACTAGCTGTAAATAAGCTTACGAAGATCGTTTTTTTTATCAAGTGTCGATGCTGGGTAGTTGGCCCGCTCTGACCGTTGCTCAATAGGTTAGTCGGTATTCTCGACTCTTCTACCTCTACGCTATTCCGACTGCTGGCGGCTACACAATGGCTAAGGGTACTTGCTCTCATAGTCCCCAGGTGCCATTCTAAGTTTCACAAATTCTAAAATTATCACAATCATGTTAGTTATTTATGGTTAGAGATAACAAATTTCTCTCATTTTCAGGAATAGATCGTTAACCTTGGATTCATTGAGCAATACCCAGCACGTGACCCACAACGATACCCGGAAGAAGTTCATTGACAGTAAGAGGTGCGGTCATATGCATTCCTTTCGCCATGCACAACCTCGGTCTGAAATGACTTGAACTGCTTGCACAGCTTCCCAAGAAGGTCGACTAGTTCATGCCTAAGTGATCCTCATTTCGAACTCGGATGCGCGTACATGTGTGCAGTGCGATGCGACGAGGAAGTCTTTGCACGGAAGGTATCATCATTTTAACTAAATTATTGGTAGCAGGTCGGTGATGCTCAGGCCAAGTCACGACTTCATTGCAGCCTGAAATTGAGGTGAAGATGACGAAGAATAACTGCAGCTCAGATCTGATGCGAGAGCAACAAGTTTCGTTCTCTCGCCAGAGTTTTGTCTCTAGTTCGTTGGTTATGATGGATATGTAATTTTATGCTAAATTCAAAACTGTTCAGTGATTTTACTGCAACTGTACTGTCGATTATTTAAACTCGTGCTTTACTGTACTGTCGAAAAATAAAGCACGAGTTTAAATAATCTGATAAGAATGATATCTTCACCATTAATAATTCAGTATCGCTATAACTCATCAATATATTTATTTGCTGCCGACTTCTGATTGTGTCACGAATTCAATAATAGGAAGTGCTCATCAACTAAGAATTAAAACACATCCAATTCTTTGTTCTTTCCTTATTTTAAGAAAATCGTATTTTCGGATAAATATATAATTGAGTTACATTCGTATTCTTTCTGGAATGGAAACTCGCACTTGCTTCGTTGGCAATGAATAACCTGACATGTTCAATGAATTTCTGGCGACCTGATGTGTATTGATGCCTGTTTGCGAGACGGGGATCAACAGTTCTGATGCGGACCAGGGCAGTAAATGATTTACTATCATTATGCTTTCTCTCCCTTAGAAACGGGACACTGAAGTAAGATAAGCGTACAGCGGGTGCTCCTAATTAATATTTTATCGGTATTTTCAGACAGCATGCTAAATGAAAGTACTTCAACGTAATTTGATCGTCAATTTACAATTCACAATAAGCCACAGAAATTTTTGACAGATCACTTTACTTCCCTTGGTTAGTTATTGCTTCGGCAATCGATTCTTAGCCTCCCTTAACGTACAGAGACGCACTTGAGCCGTTATTTTTAATCCTAGAACGCTATTCACACATTAGAGGGGAACCACTAACATGCAGTGGTTACGATCGAAAGTTTACTGTACATTGCGAAGTTTCCTATAAATACCGGAATGGAGGGCAGCGAAAGGTCTGGTGCCGCTTATTTTATTACAAGGATGCTAGGTACATGTAAGTTTCCAGTTATGCATCAGAAACACATCGAGAAAAAGGCCTCCTCGACACATAGAATTTGTATACGCCAATTTTCTAATAATGAGGCATGACGTTCACGTTACGTACGGATGACGTGCGACGTGGAGACTCCAATCGATGACTATTCTTTCCTTCTCAGACAATAGGTAATGGTAAAGTTTATAAAGTTTCTGATACATCTGCATATAACTTTCTATGGTTATGAATGGGTTCGCAATGCACTGATGCGCTGACAAACAAAATGTTGAAGGTCACAATGATAATCAGAACTGTTGGCTTCAGAATCAGAACACATCAGCTGACATCATTGGTCCGCAAGAGTCTTCATTCGGTTTCTTTTCAGTAAATCGTTACGATTTATCTCATAACCGGCATAACTTAATCGTTAGGCCTTCGCGCATGTCAAGGATTATTCACCTCGCAAAAAATGGAAGTATGAATAACGACAGTAATTTTGCCTCCGACTCACGTCCTGTGCTATCTGTCTTCTTTCGCTCGTATCTCTCCTTTATCAAAAATTATAAACGCTGCGAGAACTATTGCACACAGGTGCTAAACCTAAAAAACACATAGCTCATTTTCCACAGAAATATGAACCTAACAACCACGAATCACACAATTCGCTATGAGCAAAATAATCTGAATAATTGAGTATGAAAAAAAATCCTAATTTTATTTCAGCAATTTTCGATAAATAAATGTTCATTATTATTGGAGTCTGTATCATCACAACGCCTCCATATCCCGTTTGCAGATTTTTTATTGCTGCGCACGTACTCTAATTAGGATAACGCCTGGAGAACGAATTCTTTAACAGTATTTGCCGCGTGCCTTTCAGCTGCTGCCGCTAGCTGAGCTTGATCGTGCTTGTTTTTTGTAAGCAAAATGCAAGGACTCTCACTTTTTTGACTTAGAACTGAACTTGCCTGTTTGATCGGAACAACCCTCAAGATAATTCAGGAGATCTGTAATGCCATCCTCGTGCATCGGCTGGATCATGCTGTCGGTTTTAGCAACAGATGCGGTAAGGTCTCGATCTGCTCCCTTAGCTACGGTGTTTTAGAATTGAATTTTGGACAGCAGTTGCTGATATTTTTGCTACAATATTTTAGCATTGAGGTTGAAGTGTGTTTTCCATTTAAATAATTTCACTCTTTTTTACTCAGGTAATGTACAAACCTAATATATTTCGTTTATTTTCGAGCTCCGGCTACTTGTGTTACCTTTTAGTCCAGAGTAAATTAAACATTACATAGAGTACGTATTGAGTAGTACCTATTTACGTAATGTACATAAATTCAAAATGACTCGTACATGCATCCACGATTGTATTGTGACGCACACGCTGTTATTTGCGTAGTGCATAATTTATATACCACGCACGATGCACATCATTCAAGCGCAATACTTACATATTGAGCATTGCGACGTAAAAATGTGATGCGGTGAAATCTAGAAACAAGAAAAATGTTAATTCCGGTTGTTAATACAGTAATCCTGCACTACGAAAATTTCAGTCACAATGCAATTCAAAGATACTTAATAATTCTCTAATTACGATCAGTCATTTTGGATTTATTCTGAGTAAATATTTTAATGGATTTAAGAAAGATGAATACTCCGTATTCAATCAATCTTGAACTGTTTAATGTAAACATACAAATGGAATAACATTAAATTGTAGGCCAACTTCACACTTCATA